GTGAACGTTACCGAAATCAATACACTATTCATCGAACATGTTATTTATATTATGAAATCCATATTGGATCCTAAATCCACCAAAGACCCAAACAACGAACAAGCAGCCTCTTCAGAGTACCTGAGTGTGACGAGCATTGAGGGCATGATGCTGGGCATTGTGCGATATGTGCGTCATCTGGATATGACTGTATTTGCAATACGTACGAAGACAAGACTCTGCACATTGGTAGAGGTGATGATGAAGCGACGTGATGATTTGGCATTCCGTCAGGAAATGAAATTCCGCAACAAATTAGTAGAGTACCTGACCGATTGGGTGATGGGCACCACGCACCAGATAGCGCCATCGAATTCAAATGAACCAACGCCTTCCAAGTGAGTAGAGCAAACGATGCTTTGAATGTTAAATCAACTAAGTTCTAAAGCACTAATGGAGTAATCAAATGCTTCAACATTTCGTGAAATGTTCCCTTAAAAGCTAAAATACTTGCTGTAATTTCTTGTAAACATTTTTATAACGCTTTCCTTCTTCAAACGTCCATTTTAGTCCCTCCACAATATTCCGCGACCTCGATCAAGCCTGCATGGAAGCTGTAGCCGCATTGCTACGCGGCCTACCCCTCCAGCCAGAGGAGTCAGATCGCGGCGATTTAATGGATGCCAAGAGCGCGCTATTTCTCAAGTATGTCACGGAGCGCTTTACACATGTTTTATGTTTTCCCTAATTTCTCCATTTCTTAGGTATTTTACACTCTTCATGAACCTATTGAATGACTGCATTGACAGCTCTGAGGCTGAGAAGGAGCTTAATAATCCACCACTGCTTCCACCCCGCCCGCCTGTACAAGGCAACAAACTTACCGCACTACGTAATTCTACTATACAAGCTATGTCCAACCTATTGGGCGCCAATATAGACTCAGGCCTCATGCATTCTATCGATCTGGGCTATAATCCTGACTTGCAAACGCGCGCCGCATTCATGGAGGTGCTCACACAAATCTTGCAACAAGGCACTGAGTTTGATACGCTTGCCGAGACGGTGTTAGCCGATCGCTTTGAGCAGCTAGTGCAGTTGGTTACAATGATATCGGACAAGGGTGAGCTGCCGATTGCTATGGCGCTAGCAAATGTGGTGACCACTTCACAAATGGATGAGTTGGCGCGTGTGCTGGTCACACTATTCGATGCCAAGCATTTGTTGTCGCCACTATTGTGGAATATGTTCTATCGTGAAGTGGAAATATCCGAGTGTATGTCGACACTGTTTCGCGGCAATTCGCTGGGCAGTAAAATAATGGCATTCTGTTTTAAAATTTATGGCGCCAGTTACTTGCAGAATTTGTTGGAGCCGCTTATACGGCCGCTGCTCGATGATCCGAACACTAGCTATGAGGTGGATCCGGCGCGGTGAGTTGTGAATGATTATTTTGTAATCTAAAGCAATAAATACTTTCAAAAATTACCATTATTTTTTTTTTTTGTAGGCTTGAGCCGGGTGAAGACTTGGAGCGCAACAAGGAAAATCTGATGGCGCTCACCAAACGATTTTTTGATGCGATACTGAACTCAGTGGATCGTTTTCCCTCACAATTGCGCTCTATGTGCCACTGCCTCTATCAGGTGCTGAGCAAACGCTTTCCCACTGTGCTGCAAACCAATATCGGCGCCGTGGGCACTGTAATTTTTCTGCGCTTCATCAATCCGGCAATTGGTCAGTGTTCTCCCACTTTAAATATTGAAAAATTAATATTGATTATTTCACTATAGTCTCACCACAAGAGCTCGGCATTGTTGGCCGCCAAGTGCCCGCTTCGGTCAAGCGCGGTCTTATGTTGATGTCGAAAATTTTGCAAAATATTGCCAATCATGTTGAATTCTCCAAAGAGCAGCATATGGTTTCTTTCAATGATTTTCTACGTACGCGCTTTGAACAGGGGCGTCACTTCTTCGTACAAATTGCTTCGGATTGCGAGACTGTTGATCAGACTTCGCACAGCATGAGCTTCATCTCGGATGCCAATGTACTGGCGCTGCATCGCCTGCTCTGGACCCATCAGGAACGCATTGGCGACTATTTATCCAGCAGTCGTGACCATAAGGCGGTTGGGAGACGGCCATTCGATAAGATGGCTACACTGTTGGCTTACCTGGGACCGCCGGAGCATAAGCCCGTGGACTCGCAGTAAATAAAACAAATATATGGCTTCAGGAAGTTAATTTATTTCATTAAAAACTCTGTACATTGCAGCATGATGTTCTCATCGTATGCACGCTGGAGTTCCATCGATATGTCATCAACGAATTTCGAAGAAATTATGGTTAAACATCAAATGCACGAGAAGGAGGAATTTAAAACTTTGAAAACAATGAACATTTTCTATCAAGCGGGCACAAGCAAGTCTGGTTTCCCAGTATTTTACTACATCGCAAGACGTTACAAGTTAGTAGTGGCAGAGTGAAATTGCCTCCAGGGGATTTTTAACAAACCAATTAAAATAATTTTTGCATTATCGTCTCCCCTTCACTTATAGAATTGGCGAAACGAATGGCGATCTCCTCATCTATCACGTTATACTCACGCTCAAACCTTTCTGTCACTCGCCCTTCGAAGTAATCATCGATTTCACGCACACCTGTTCGGATAATCGCTTCCGCACAGAGTTTCTACAGAAATGGTTTTATGTGCTGCCAACCGTTGCTTACGAAAATGTGTACGCTGTTTACATTTACAACTGCAATTCGTGGGTGCGCGAATATACCAAATTTCATGATCGCATACTAGCGCCGTTAAAGGTAAAAAAGGTTTATCTTTTTGCTTGGAAAAAGTTTCTAGTTAACTCTTTCCCCCGATACAGGGCAACCGTAAACTAGTGTTCCTAGATACACCGAATAAACTGAATGAATTCATCGACACCGAACAACAAAAACTGCCAGGTGCCACACTATCACTGGATGAAGATCTGAAGGTCTTCAGCAATGCACTCAAACTGAGTCACAAAGATACCAAAGTGGCCATTAAAGTTGGTCCCACTGCATTACAAATCACATCAGCTGAGAAAACCAAAGTATTGGCACACTCAGTGCTGCTCAACGATGTTTATTATGCCTCGGAAATTGAGGAAGTTTGTCTGGTGGATGATAACCAATTTACGCTTTCTATTACCAATGAAAGCGGTCAGCTAAGTTTCATACACAACGATTGTGACAACATTGTACAAGCAATTATACATATACGCAATCGATGGGAGTTGAGTCAACCTGACTCGGTGACGGTGCATCAGAAAATACGTCCCAAAGATGTGCCGGGCACGCTGCTCAATATGGCATTACTTAATCTTGGCTCTTCTGATCCGAATCTGCGCACTGCCGCCTACAATTTGCTTTGTGCACTCACCGCTTCCTTTGATCTGAAAATCGAGGGGCAGCTGCTGGAGACATCTGGCCTATGCATACCATCGAACAACACTATTTTCATTAAATCTGTCAGTGAGAAACTGGCCACTAATGAGCCACATTTGACGCTGGAGTTTCTGGAGGAGTGTATACAAGGTTTCCAGCGCAGCACAATTGAGTTGAAGCATTTGTGTTTGGAATATATGACGCCGTGGTTGAAGAATTTAGTGAAATTCTGCAAATCCAACGATGATGCGAAAAAATTGAAGGTGTCACAAATTCTAGATAAGCTGATATTGGTCACCATTGAGCAGAAGGAAATGTATCCATCAGTGCAAGCGAAGATTTGGGGTTCGATTGGCCAAATACCCGAGCTAATCGATATGGTGCTCGATAATTTCCTACACAAATCCATTACATATGGCTTGGGTTCGCCACATGTGGAGATTATGGCTGACACAGCAGTGGCGCTAGCTTCTGCCAATGTGTTACTCGTTTCGAAGAAGATTATAACGCGCATGTGTCGCGTCATGGACAAGACCTGTACAAATCCAACACAGTTCCTGGAGCAACATATGATGTGGGATGACATTGCCATACTGGCGCGTTACCTGCTCATGTTGTCGTTCAACAATTGTCTCGATGTGGCCACGCATTTGCCCTATCTTTTTCATATTATCACGTTTTTGGTGAGCATACACAAGTGTTATAATTGCGAATTGTTTAAGCACATTTCAACTTTCACCCACCGCTACTTAGGTCTGTTCCGGCTCAGTGTCTATGCGTGCTTCCACACACGGACTGGTCATCAATATCATTCACTCGCTATGTACCTGCACTAAACCGACTTTCTCCGAGGAGGCCCAACGTGTACTGCGTCTATCGCTTGATGAATTCTCTCTATCAAAATTCTATTTACTCTTCGGCATAAGCAAGGTAAAGTCGGCAGCTGTGACCGCCTTCCGTTCCAGTTGCCGCCATCCATCCGACAAGTGGTTGGGCAATGAGCGTGTTTCGCAACCATTGCCAGCCGATCGCGAACGTCTCTCTTTACCCTCACTGGAAGTAATTGCCGATGCATTGCTCGAAATAATGGAGGCTTGCATGCGCGACGTGCCCGATTGCCAGTGGCTGCAGACGTGGACGTCGTTAGCGCGTTGTTTCGCTTTCTGCTACAATCCAGCGCTTCAACCGCGTGCGCTCATAGTTTATGGTTGCATTAGCAAGAGTGTTACCGATCAGGAAGTGAAACAATTGTTGCGCATACTAGTAAAAGCGTTGGAGTCATTCAATGACATCATACTCATAGAGGCATTGGTTATGTGCTTGACACGAATACAACCACTCCTGCGACCTGTTAGTAGTGCCATAATTCCCTAAGTGAAATTCTGTGCTCAAAATTTTAATACCTGCC